CGTGCAGTAATGCCGCACGTTGATATGTATATTACCCTTGGTTCGTTTGTAAACTATTGAAAATAACATTTATAACTCACAATTGCGCACAATTCGCTTACGAGCACTTCGATGGGTATGGATGGATATTTTTCTTCCAGTTTGAACATGCTGTTTGATGGGAATGTGCTTTGCGACGCATTCTCTAGTCTATAGTACATGTAATTTATTGATTACTGTTGTTTATTGCTTAAAATATTGAGAAAAGGAAACGTATCTAAGTTAAAAAGTAGATGATATAGAAGTATCATGTAATACCGAGCTGCGCATGCGTGTATTTAAGTGCAAGCTAAAAATAGGCGGAGCGTAAGTCAACAATTGACTTTAAAAGAAAATAAATGTTGCCAAATTAGATTACAATGAGTAATTTCGGTTGTAAAACGAAATCGTTGAATAAACATCGATAATCTAAATCGACCGAGATGGTCAAATGGAGTCGAACAATTTTAACGCCAACACGAGCGCGCGCGCACGCTTACAATTCGCATATATCCGCGATAAAGAAGAAATAACTCAGCGCGCTTTCTTCTTCCCGCCGGCTTCGGAGTGCGCGTTGTGCAACAACTTGTTGCTTTTAATCGTCCGCGAACGCGACTCGCACAATTACGGCGACCCGAACAATGTGCATTAAACCCGCACACACGGGCATAAACTATTCCGAACATAATCCACCACGATTCGAGAGAGCGGAGCCGCTACGTGTGGCGCGCAGCGATTTGGTGCATTTGTCTCCTGCGCGAGGGAAGCGGATAAGGCGGCCAACAAAAACGAAACAAGAGTAATTTAAGGTGAGGACTTATTATCTTAAAGCTTGTAGGTGTACGCTTGCTTGTTGCATCGTCACACCATCAGCACGTATACCGAATGTCGCCAAATGTGCGCGCCACGTACTGATAACATCAAAGAGTTCAAACGAGTTGAAACAATGTAGCAGTCACGTCGCCCGCTTTGTGTCAGATTTAAATTTTGCTTCTTTTGCACATTTTATTACAGCAGGGAGTGTCACAAGTCATCCGAGTACATTTCGTACAATGTTCAAAGTCATTGACTGTTGTGTCCATTTCGATGGCCGAAAAAAATGTTTCATCACAACTTCTGTAACATCCAGTAACATCTGAAGCATATTTATACAAATGCAGATTATGTACTTACAATACTTACAATTCTCGAACAGAACAAATACAATGCTAACAAATTTTACTCGCAGCTCAAGAAGAATACGATACACGACGGGTTTAGTCTTGTGTGCGTGGAGTATCATCAGACGGTGCGGGCGGTAATCTAGGAATTTACACAGGTTAATCTCGGCCGGGGAATGAATAAAAAACGTAGGTACCTACGTTCAGGACAAACTTTATGCCTTGTCAGATTTTTCTGTAAGTGCGGCCAATTTACCACATGCGTTTATAGACAAATAATTTTCATACAATGAATGTGTGTCCTCCGCCGAAGACCATAAAGTTTTTCAGGATTGGATCTAAAATTTTAATTATACACAAAAACATATGAAAACAATTATGCGCATATAAATAAAATTAAGCAATAAGTTTTGAGTTGTGTAAAACATTTAATGATGGATAAAATTATTTATTTCTTTGTGTATTGTTAAAGAACTCTTCGCTAATTGCACTTTATACTAATATATAAGTACCCTATCATGGCTTAATATGAGACCTCTCTTGGTATCTTATTATACTCGCTGGTCGTTGGTAATGTGCAGTAATGAGATAAAAGAAATCGAAAGTAGTACTCGGCTCCGCGTGGAAGAAACACTGAATACAGTGGAACACCCACTCAGTCGTCACTTGATAGCTAATAAATTAGCGACACAAGAGCTCTAAGCGTCGCACACACGAGCGACTAAAGAGTTGTGCATTCACGCTCACTAATACGATGACAGGGTGAGTTATTATTAACTCGATCATTTGCTGCGCTTTCATACCTTCGTATACCTTTTAGCGCTGTGCGAACTACGATTTTACATACCCACACGCAAATTGCTCAACTGGGTTTGATCATTTTCCAACCACAATGCGAGCATTCGGATATATTTAAACAAAGCATATGCATGTGCGCATATTTTTATTTAAATTTCCATCATTCCACAAGTCCGTAATTTTAATTACCGTGTTTCGTATTATTTTTAAGTGTATATTATAAACACTATTATTAGCAGCGGCATTGTTATTAGTTTAGCGCTCTACTCTTGCATGCAATAAAATGACAAAAGAATCCGCGCAAATTGTTTGTAAACTTTGAATGAAAAACTCATCGAGTTAATTTTAAGCCCGTTATTAGTGAGCAATAAATTACAAATTGTGTACTCTTGTCGTAATTATTTATTTGTGTTAGTATCCTATACTAAATTCGCGCATTGCTAATAAAACACACATTAAAGCGTTAAAAATGTACTGCCTTCTACGAGTCGTTTATTTTACGATCGTTCATCGTATGATTACGGTGATTGTAATGCGTGAGGGATTAACCTCTACAAGTGTTCAACTTTAACATTGTTTCAAATAGTTTATTGACATTGTACACCGATCCGACACAAGTATCTTCAAAACTAAAGTGTTTCCAATCCTAAGTTTTGTCAATGGATGAGATATTTAATAACATGTTATCAGGCGATTTGTAATGGCAGGCATTTATCGATTTTATTTCAGTGATTTTGTATCCATTTAAGCATTTCCTCGTACATTCGAAAAGCAACGGTGCATTCTCGAAAGCAAAAGCTTCACAGCAATCGTACTTAGCGCATAGAGCATGCCTAGAGCGAGTACACGTCCATGCGTCTCAGGTTCCGACACAAAACACAGAACTATAAGGAGAAACATTGCGATCGTTCATTCAGATAAAATCCTGTCGTTAAGTTGGCCAGGCCACATGGGCTGGAGAGTTTGGTCAGATTGACGCTGATGTAATGTAACCGATATATCGGACGATTTTCCGTTCAGCTTAAATATGATACGAAATTGTACCCGGACGCGCATACCTGTACGTTGCGTACACGTAAAATCAGTCAAATCAATCAAAAACTTACATGTTCCCCTTCGAAAGTGAGATCGGCAGTTGCGACGCTTAGTTGCATTTTATTCAAAAAAAAATTCGAGAAAGAATTAGGTATGTTCAAATCGATTGAATAAACTTATTTTAAATTAAATTAATGCTAATCGTTTAACATACAATTTTAATTTGATGAGTTGGTATTAAATGCAGCTATAATTCAAGGAGCAAGTAGGTACCGTTGATAAATTCGGTAGGTACGCACATCCATGTAGGTATGCAGATGCGTTACAGAGAATTTTAATTTCTGACAATTCGGATTATAGCCATATAATTTTCATTTTTATTACAAAATTAATGAGTAATAAAACGCGTTAACTCAATAACCGTACAAAGCGTGGTTCTTCAAACTGTAGATAAAGAACTTGCATGTGCCATAAATTTATGACAAATTTATGATTATTATTGCTAGATTTTGAACAGAAAGTATTTCTGTGCCAAATCTTTTTGCGATCAGATAAGACAAAAATAGCGTGTCATAATTATGAGTGCAATTTGTAAATGTTTATAATTATACTAACCATTTAAGTGTGCATCAATCACATCTTACGTAAATTTGAAAAATTATTCTCATTATTGGATACGCAGATGGACGATCAACAACGAAAAACGCGTAATCTCCGAGATCAAACATTTTTCGTCGATGTGGTAATTAGCATCTAAACTCAATATAACTTTCCGGTGGTCTTTCACAATCACTTTTACACTCGATGAACAGAAGCATCCATTACGTCAAGCGTAGCTATCTGTTTGTGAAATTAAATGGATGTCGTGTAGGTTGATTACTCGTCTGTCAAACACAAACGGTTGTACGTTAAAAAAAAGCTTAATTACACGTGCATGCGCACATTCACGCGCTATCGACGTTCGTCATCGGGACTCATCACCAAACATCGGACCGAAAAACGCAGCCTGTCTAACGATTAACGTTGGATGGGATGACCAAATGAGACATTCGAAAATGCAAAATGGCTCATTACCGGCCCACAGCCATGAACGCCACGAAATAATTCATACAACTTTGTGAGTTGTTGAGGATTTAACAAGAAGCAGCATTAAGCATTTCTGACGCAAGCGATTTAATTATTTCCGTTAATTTACTTTTACTTTATTACGCAGACGCAAAAGTGTATCGGTATTATCTTCTGCTTTAGCACTTAATTATGACAACAATGAAGCGCGCATAAAATTAAGTTGCCTTAGCCGATTTAATTTGATACCCCGAATATTAATTGTTTTGCACACAGGTAAGCAATTTTACCAGTTTATCTGGTCTTTTGATAACGAATTTACAGTTTCCGGTAGGTTTCCTTTTTATCGGAATCGGATAAATCACAATGTTTATTGCAATTACTTCATCATTTTGGTCTTGATATACTCGTACGATATGATCTCGAGGGTATCCGGTTATTAGACGTATTCTCGAAGAAAATATTGAGACGCCGTCTCAAATATCAATCTGCAATAGAATATGAAAATATCACGCTTCAAATTTGGGTATAAATGTGGGTTGTGGTCACATCTTGATTTAAATAATATGTGTACACATTTGGAAGTTATTGCAACTGTCAGTTTAAACTCATTGGGTTATAGTGAGAGAATAATATTCAACACATTATATAAACAATTGTCTTAAATTTATTTTGCAATATTGTAACGTAAGTGTGAACGACTTGTACGTGCATGTAGGCGAGCCAGGAACCTCCCTTTTCTGTTTAATTTCGCTGGTCGCGTCATCGACTAAGCTGTTTCATTACACCCACAAAATTATTTAATACTTGTCTTTAGTTGATTTCTATTTGAACTATGAAATTCAATACTCCTATAAAACATTAAATACTCCAAATGTGCTTTCTTTAATCGAATATCTAAACTTTGTATTCTTTTGTTTGCAGCGGTTGAAACTTGATATCGTTTCGGACGTATGCAAGTGAATACTTACAACACCACCTTAGATGAAACTGGACCAGCGCGATTTGCAAAAGTCCGACACGTATCTACACACATCGGCAGAACAAATAGGTTTATAGTCTATCAACTTTGAGGTAAATATGTCAGGGTCGCGAAAAACATAACTACTGCAATAAATTAGCGAAATCATCAGCAATTGGAAACCGGCAATGGTAGAACGCGGGGCGATGAGAGCAAAATGTTATGCTTGTGTATTCTGACATGCTGTGTTTTATGTATTACTGCACTAAACAGCAAACTTTACGTGTAAGTATTGTGTTTACGTCACAAAAATAGTAAAACAAGCACGTATACTACTCGTAGCATTTTTTTAAATTCTGCAGTTAAAACAAATTGCTTCTTAAGTTCCGGAATTGTGGTGAAAAGTACCTACAATTTATCTCTTTGTCATCATATTTATATAATTGTAGAATTGGCACCAAATCTCAAGAAATATATTTGTTTTGTATTATGTGTAATGATTGTAAAATAGGTTTATTGAAGCCACAATTATGTTTCTACAGGCTCTCAAAAAATTTTAAGATTGACATCAACATATGATTGCAGACTTTAATACACCGTTATTCTGTAAATATTCAATCAACAATTGACTGCTTTTATTGACAACTGATGTGTATGGTACTATCTTTAGGCGAAGTGTGGAACTATGTTATCGTCCATTCTAGATTTGATACCAACAAACGCTGTTGACAAAATCAGTGTTATTATCCCCAACTTGTTCGGACGTGTATCTCTAGACAGCCCACGTTTCTATAAATTATAATTGTGTAGATCGTGTTATGATCTGTTAGCAATCGACGGTATTTACTAGTTATTAGAAATGTGGCGTACTGCTAAAGATTTGTCGCGCGTGAAATCGGAAATTGCGTGTTTTGTATAGGAGAGACCGAGAAGGATCCGTAAGCCTCGTGTGTGCCGTCGGCTACTTTCTGGAACCGAAGAAACATCATTGAATTTATTATGCGTTGAGTCGATTATGAATTTGTACAAATCAACCAGGTTTGTGAGCACGGGAGCAATAAAGTGAGTACATGAATAGTGTAATAGTAATAAATAAATAGTGTAATATTTAAAACAAATGTATGTAATTTTCATTGTTGTTAATATAACGTAATGTATTATTATAAACTTTTTCAAATTTCGTTTTGGCATCCACTTTGTCGTTTGCAGGATTGATGCCTTAAATCATATTCCATATAAATCTGAAGTGCGCCAAACGTGTACCTACAATATATAGCTCTTGTTCGTATGGTGTTGTTGGTGTTAAAAAGTTGAATAAGGTAGAAACATAAATAGAAGGATCAAATAACAATGATAAGAACACTCGGTGGTCGAGTGGATACGTGCACCTGCTAGCATGCTAGTAGACACGGGTCGAATCTCAGGTGTAGAAGGCATTTTTCTCAAATATAAAAATATCAGGTGAAATTTGGGTTGCATATATGAATTGCAACGAAATATGAGAGAAATTGTAATACAAGTGAAGGCAATATGAAAAATCAGAAAACACGTGGAGAAACGAAGAACAGAGAAATAGAAGAAGAAGGAGTAGTAGAAGATAGAAAGAAGAGAACGGGGAGGTGAGAGTAGTAGAGAAGAGGAGAAGATAAAAGAAGGAGAACAGGAGAGGATCAGATTTTTAAATTTTTTGGCCCGTGTCGTTAGACAGTCTAAGGACACTGCTTGGATGCGTCCATTGCTCCCGGCCCATCCTACAGCTACGATGTCTCTACGCTTCATCCCCGGAATTATCAGGCATATCAACAATTTTTATGGTGGGGGATCACCCCCAGAGAGAGGGAACTCCTTATAAGGACAATCCTTATAAGGTCTTGTTCAAATATTTCTAAGTTTTAAGTCGCCTCTCTCGAGGCGACACTTAAAAATATTCTAACAGGTTCTGACCTGTAGCTGAAATGAAAGATGGAGTACACAAATCATACAGGATACCTTAACAACTTTTATAGTGGGGATCATCCCCCGAGTGGGAGAACTCCTTATAAGGACTTGTAGAGATATTTCTAAGTGTCGACGCTCTCAGGACCGACCACAAACACTGAGAAATACTTTACAAATTGGTGACCTGTACCTGAAATGATGGAAGTAAGAGGTGCACAAGTCATCAGACACAGCCATTGCCTTTAACATTTCTTTATTAACAAACTAAATACAATATAACTTTAGAATTTGCAATTTCAATACCTACAGAACACATGACGTCATTTTAAAACATGTTTATGACCTGCACAGCTGCGCTATGCTAACGGCTCTGAAATTACAAAACATAGCACTAGAAAATAGCTAATTGCGCCCTTTTTCGCGGTTAATCTATAGAAAATTATATACAGGGTGTTTTCAAAAGAAAATCACCCACAAAATAATAAAAATTGTCATTTTGACCGGCATTAAGGAAAATTTATATACAGGGTGTTATCGAAAGAAAATTGAAAGTTGGAGGAGAGGTATCCCAGTTGTCTATTTTTGCTAGGGCCAGAGAAATCAGGTATACAGGGTGTTACAAAAAAATTAAGAATGATATGAAACACTCGAAAACCCAATTTTACATTTTCTACTAGTGATTAAGAAAACCTAACCTACAGGGTGTTACAAACTGAAAATAAAATGCTATAAACAGACACCCGAAAATCATGATTTTTGATCATTTTCTCCCGAACACAAAGGAAAATAAATACACAGGATGCTGAAAATTTTTGTGAATTAAACACTGAAAAACTATAGGTTTTATCAATGGGGATCAACGAAGAAAGGCACAAGACTTAAATAACTACCCTCTAAAAGAAATGTTTTGCTGGATATCCAGGATTACTCGGTTACAGGGTGGTAGGGAAGAGTTCTAAATAAAATAGCTCGTTGCTATCATTAATTCTACGTTTTTACTAAAGATGAAAAAAATCTAATATACAGAGAGATACAAGAAAATAACAAGATTCTAAAGGATAATCTAAAGTTTAAGTTGGAGATAAGGGGAACCAACCTCTGGCAGTGCTATCAGCTACGATACATTGAATATACCTAAATCGATTTCCGTAGGGGAATGTGCTACCTAGTCGCATGAAACAGGTGTGAATTAACCAATAGGACAGAATATCGTGGCGACTTTTACGGCCAGAATACGTCCGAAGGATAATTTAATTGTATGTAAAAACCTGAGTTTATTAGAACCGCGTTTGTTCTCTACAATTTGTTAAATAGAAACCTAACCGTCACAAATTCGACAATCGTCGAAGCCAGCGATAAAATCATACGAATTACATGCTATTCAAAGAAACATAAATACAAGCACCCGACGAACCAGGCTGTAGGATTCAATTTGTGTGGTCTCCGACAATTTCTCTGTTTAGGTTACTTACTAGGCTGCCCTGACGTACTTTTTATTAGTCCAAAATGGAAAACAGCAATATAATTCCAACTGTGACTGAACCGAATGATAAGCGACCGCCTGCGGAACCTCACTCGCGCACAGATAAACAGACGACAATATTTTACGATTTATGCACATTTAAGTCAGTCGCGGTACTTCATTAGCAAAATACGAGCCCGTTAACAGTAAATGCTGCCGATTAATCGATTTGCCGAATAAAAATTTCAGGAGACAAGCCGAACAGCGAGAAACGTGGCCGAACCAACCGGCGATAAGAACAGACTGAACAGCATGCGGCCTGCAGCGCTAGCGGCACAACACCGCGCAGCGCGATGCTATCGTTCGTTGAACGCGATAAGAAAAAACTGTTTATAAACAAACAAATGCTAGAATATATTTTGTGCAAAAAACCTACTTTAATATGTATAAGTATGTACAAGTTAAACTTTTTCTTGTTGGAAGGGCAATGGAAATGCATGTTTACACAAAAAATAAAATTTTACCGGAAGGAAAGTTATTGTTTTGACATTATAATGCAGACATACTTTGTACTCAGTTTTCGCAGCACAAATGTACACAAGTAATAAAAAGAGCAATATATTAACGAATTTACCAATAGGTACATATATGTACCTATATATGAAACTTACCAAATTGGTTAGAAGCGTCAGAAATAATTAAACATTATATACCTAGTTAGGAAAGACATATCATATCTATAGGACTTCAAGAATTTTAGTTAATTCGAGAAATCACCGATTAAATTTTACATGCGAATTAATTGTTTACAGACGCGCCTAATTGTCGTCACGTCCATATAAGCATGCTACCACATTGAAAATTCACAGTGCAACACGGCAAACATTAATTAAACATCAACCTATAACTTTACGGGCGGATCGCGCGAGCATGCGTGAGGTATTTGTGTATATACGAAAATGTGAATGTGGTATAAAACCTCAACATGTTCCTCGTATACAATTCGAATAGTGGAATGATGAATGCATTCAATTACGACAAAATCGGCATTAAGTCGTAAAGCAATCCCGTTGTTTACTTGATTTTTTTTGTTGCAACAAAAAAGGTTTCCTAAAATATGCAAATAAATGCACCACGCGGATATTATACGCTCGTTTTATTACAATTATTTTATATAAAAAAAAGACGTCGCGGAATGCCGTTGTTGCTAAGAACACTTAAACGAATATAACGAAGAAGTTAAATTCAATAACATGCAAACAGCGTACAGTAAAATATCCATACTAAGCGAGACTTCTTATCGCAAGTTTCTAAATTCGTATTTTTATCAGGTCGTAATTTATCGTCATTGTTAGACTACGTTAGCCCGTGTCGAATCTGGATGCTTTAACGACAATTCATTAGCGCTGCATGGCGGTGACATAAAGCTAAGTCGGAGAGAAATTCGCGAACGTTAAAGAATAGTGCCGCCAGGCTGTCCCACACTGACGAATTATATCTTTCTTCATATTTGAAATTTAATTGCGAACGAATGTCAAACTAGTAAAAACGGCAGGGTCGGTCTTCATCTAGCACATTCCCTTATAAAACGATGTGCAAGTTTGTGGGGGACTTGCATTAACTCCAGCGATTTGACGTAGTGGGTTTCTTACGGTTCGCCAGAGAACAAACAAAGACGGATAGAAGACGGATATGACGCGGACGAGTTTCAGCTTAATCGTCAAATAAAGAAATGTATTCTCCCGTCGGATTTCATTATTAACGCGTCCGCAGGTTTTACGCACTCGCGGGGACAAGACGTTGGCAGACAAATTCATTAATTAGCTTTTTTTACGAGTGCGGGCGAATATTTGTTTAAACATTCACCGCGTCGAATTTTAATTAATTTTAATTAAATTTACGTTTCGTATTTATCGGCATTGTGTTCATTTTTTTCCACTCATAGGCGCGCACGTTGCGTAACTTAATTGCAAGGTATAAAGCTTTTAAAAAGTTTGTAGAGATTTTAACAGCACTAATAAATTCAGTTTTATTGGCCATATTTAAAGGTGGCAAAAGAGCTCAACTCTTTACGAAAGATCTCGGCGCTGCATATGC